TCTGTGAGAGAGAGAGAGAGAGAGAGAGAGAGAGAGAGAGAGAGAGAGTGTGTGTGTGTGTGTGAGAGAGAGAGAGAGAGAGAGAGAGAGTGTGTGTGTGTGTGTGTCTGTGAGAAAGAGAGAGAGAGAGAGAGTGTGTGTGTGTGTGTGTGTGTGTGTGTGTGTGTGTGTGTGTGTGTGTGTGTGTGTGTGAGAGAGAGAGAGAGTGTGTGTGTGTGTGTGTGTGTGTGTGAGAGAGAGAGAGAGAAAGAGAGTGTGTGTGAGATAGTGTGTGTGTGTGTGTGTCTGTTGTTGTGAGAGTGGCAGAGGTCAGTTGTCACAGTGAGCGAGAAAGATTGACCTGGAGCCGCTAAATCTCCATCTTCTGGAGAATCGCCTGTTTAAAACAAACACTGAACAGAGGAGAGTCGTGATAAAACAAGAATCAACAATAGCTTGGCTTTTCGACGGGAACAAAGGGGTATGACATGTAAACGTGACGCGGAGATGATGATGTTTTTATTTCCCAACAGGAGAGTAAGTGTTTTATTGAACAGATAAACTGTCATATGTGTCTCTCTAACACAGTTCACTGTAAAGCATTATCAATTGTGAAGATTTTTTCCTTATGGTTGTTGTACCTGTGCAGGAATTTAATATCAAGGAAGTAGCGCTTCTATTAATGAGTAAAGCTACAGTAAAGCCTCCAGTTAGTCAGCTTGAGGTCCTTCCCATCTAAACTGGTTATTTATCTTAAGCCTAGTTGAATGTTTAATGAGCAGTTAGGTTTGTTGATAAGGGAAGGAGGCGGCGAGAACCGCGAACGTTATACATAACTTTAATAATAAAAAACTAAATGAATGTAAAGCGGCAGCCCCTCATGGACAACTAAAGCACCAACATACGGTCCTCTCTCGTCTCCACTGCCTTTATCCTTCCTGAGCTCCTCCGTGGGACTCGAGACCGGTGTCGCTCTGTTCCCGCGGCTCTCGGCCCCGCCCTGCTTGCCACAACCAGTAAATAATCTCTCTCGCTGCGTCCCAATTCGCCTATTTATAGTACGCCCTAAAAGTATGTACTCTTTTTGTGAAGAAAAAATACATACTTTTGAGTGTGTAGCAAAAGAGTACTACTTCGTCATTTTCGTCAGGTTAGATACTGATAATTAATCACTCAAATTTTTATCTGAACCTCTCTACATAACCGCCGAACTCGTTCTCGCGCGTCCTCCATGTCTGTGGTTTTTAACACTTTTCACTCGTGTTTGTAGTTCTAATCGAATCCTCGCACAACGCGCGATGGGTTGTGGGCAATACCAGCCGTCAGAGTGTTCACGGATCTGCACTTCGGATTCTGACCGGAAAAAGTAGACCATCCGGGTGTCTTTGGAACACTCATTTCAACATACTATGATTTGTGACGGACTAATTCTATTTTGGAATACTATTTAAGACGGATAGTATGCAAATTGGGATGCATTGGGATCAACATACTATGATTTGGGACGTACTAATTCTATTTTCGAATACTATTTAGGACGGATTGTATGCAAATTGGGATGCATTGGGATCAACATACTATGATTTGGGACGTACTAATTCTATTTTCGAATACTATTTAGGATGGATAGTATGCAAATTGGGATGCATTGGGATCAACATACTATGATTTGGGACGTACTAATTCTATTTTCGAATACTATTTAGGACAGATAGTATGCAAATTGTGATGCATTGGGATCAACATACTATGATTTGGGACGTACTAATTCTATTTCCGAATACTATTTAGGACGGATAGTATGCAAATTGTGATGCATTGGGATCAACATACTATGGTTTGGGACGTACTAATTCTATTTTCGAATACTATTTAGGACGGATAGTATGCAAATTGGGATGCATTGGGATCAACATTCTATGATTTGGAACATACGAATTCTATTTTAGAATACTATTCAGGATGGATAGTATGGAAATTGGGATGCATTGGGATCAACATACTATGATTTGGGACGTACTAATTCTATTTTCGAATACTATTTAGGATGGATAGTATGCAAATTGGGATGCATTGGGATCAACATACTATGATTTGGGACGTACTAATTCTATTTTCGAATACTCTTTAGGACGGATTGTATGCAAATTGGGATGCATTGGGATAAACATACTATGATTTGGGACGTACTAATTCTATTTTCGAATACTATTTAGGATGGATAGTATGCAAATTGGGATGCATTGGGATCAACATACTATGATTTGTTGGGACGCACTAATTCTATTTTCGAATACTATTTAGGATGGATTGTATGCAAATTGGGATGCATTGGGATCAACATACTATGATTTGGGACGTACTAATTCTATTTTCGAATACTATTTGGATGGATAGTATGCAAATTGGGATGCATTGGGATCAACATACTATGATTTGGGACATACTAATTCTATTTTCGAATACTATTTGGATGGATAGTATGCAAATTGGGATGCATTGGGATCAACATACTATGATTTGGGACGTACTAATTCTATTTTCGAATACTATTTGGATGGATAGTATGCAAATTGGGATGCATTGGGATCAACATACTATGATTTGGGACTCACTAATTCTATTTTCGAATACTATTTAGGATGGATTGTATGCAAATTGGGATGCATTGGGATCAACATACTATGATTTGGGACGTACTAATTCTATTTTCGAATACTATTTGGATGGATAGTATGCAAATTGGGATGCATTGGGATCAACATACTATGATTTGGGACATACTAATTCTATTTTCGAATACCATTTAGGACGAAAAGCATGCAAATTGGGATGCATTGGGTTCAACATACTATGATTTGTTGGGACGCACTAATTCTATTTTCGAATACTATTTAGGACGGATAGTATGCAAATTGGGATGCATTGGGATCAACATACTATGATTTGTTTGGACGCACTAATTCTATTTTCGAATACTATTTAAGACGGATAGCATGCAAATTGGAATGCATTGGGATCAACATACTATGATTTGGGGCGTACTAATTCTAATTTCGAATACTATTTGTGACGGATAGTATGCAAATTGGGATACATTGGGATCAACATACTATGATTTGGGACATACTAATTCTATTTTCGAAAACTATTTGTGACGGATAGTATGCAAATTGGAATGCATTGGGATCAACATACTATGATTTGGGACGTACTAATTCTATTTTCGAATACCATTTAGGACGGATAGTATGCAAATTGGGATGCATTGGGATCAACATACTATGATTTGGGACGTACTAATACTATTTTCGAATACTATTTAGGACGGATAGTATGCAAATTGGGATGCATTGGGTTCAACATACTATTATTTGTTGGGACGCACTAATTCTATTTTCGAATACTATTTAAGACGGATTGTATGCAAATTGGGATGCATTGGGATAAACATACTATGATTTGGGACGTACTAATTCTATTTTCGAATACTATTTAGGATGGATAGTATGCAAATTGGGATGCATTGGGATCAACATACTATGATTTGTTGGGACGCACTAATTCTATTTTCGAATACTATTTAGGATGGATTGTATGCAAATTGGGATGCATTGGGATCAACATACTATGATTTGGGACGTACTAATTCTATTTTCGAATACTATTTGGATGGATAGTATGCAAATTGGGATGCATTGGGATCAACATACTATGATTTGGGACATACTAATTCTATTTTCGAATACTATTTGGATGGATAGTATGCAAATTGGGATGCATTGGGATCAACATACTATGATTTGGGACGTACTAATTCTATTTTCGAATACTATTTGGATGGATAGTATGCAAATTGGGATGCATTGGGATCAACATACTATGATTTGGGACTCACTAATTCTATTTTCGAATACTATTTAGGATGGATTGTATGCAAATTGGGATGCATTGGGATCAACATACTATGATTTGGGACGTACTAATTCTATTTTCGAATACTATTTGGATGGATAGTATGCAAATTGGGATGCATTGGGATCAACATACTATGATTTGGGACATACTAATTCTATTTTCGAATACCATTTAGGACGAAAAGCATGCAAATTGGGATGCATTGGGTTCAACATACTATGATTTGTTGGGACGCACTAATTCTATTTTCGAATACTATTTAGGACGGATAGTATGCAAATTGGGATGCATTGGGATCAACATACTATGATTTGTTTGGACGCACTAATTCTATTTTCGAATACTATTTAAGACGGATAGCATGCAAATTGGAATGCATTGGGATCAACATACTATGATTTGGGGCGTACTAATTCTAATTTCGAATACTATTTGTGACGGATAGTATGCAAATTGGGATACATTGGGATCAACATACTATGATTTGGGACATACTAATTCTATTTTCGAAAACTATTTGTGACGGATAGTATGCAAATTGGAATGCATTGGGATCAACATACTATGATTTGGGAAGTACTAATTCTATTTTCGAATACTATTTAGGACGGATAGTATGCAAATTGGGATGCATTGGGATCAACATACTATGATTTGGGACGTACTAATACTATTTTCGAATACTATTTAGGACGGATAGTATGCAAATTGGGATGCATTGGGTTCAACATACTATTATTTGTTGGGACGCACTAATTCTATTTTCGAATACTATTTAAGACGGATAGCATGCAAATTGGAATGCATTGGGATCAACATACTATGATTTGGTACGTACTAATTCTATTTTCGAATACTATTTGGGATGGATAGTATGCAAATTGGGATGCACTGCCCGAAAGAACAATATTCATCCGCAGAGCCGAAGCACAAACAAAACAACGTTCTTCCGCAAAATGCATGCATTTTTTTTTTTATCCACTAGAGGGCCAAAAGTTACTTAGTGTACCTTTAAAATCGACATTATATAAAAGTTAATTTCTTTTCAAGCTGACCGCTTATGATCAGATGTTATTAGCGGAGTGTTTCTCTCTCTCTTTCAGACCTGATGGAGTCGGTCCTCAGGTGTATGCAGGCGTGCCGGCGGCTGCTGGTGGTGTTGAGCTCGGACTGTTTGTGCGAGAAGAGCGTGAGTCTGCTGGAGTGTCGTCTGTGCTTGTACCTGCATCACACGTCGCGCGCCCCCATCATCACCGTCAGACGCCGCACGCTCAGCGCCTCGTGCGGCGACATCACGGAGCTGCGCAACAACTCCACCTGCATCCGCTGGCACGGGGCGCGCTCTGAGCAAAGCAACTCTCGCTTCTGGAAGCTCCTGCGACTCGCACTGCCGCTGCGACCTCTCGCTCTCGGGAAGAGACTCATCGACAGCACTTCCTCACACTCAGACCTGGCGTCCGTGGCTACGCGTTACACGCAAGCCCAGACGGTCTCCCTTAGACACTCTGGCAAAGGCGGTCGGGTCGGAATGAGGCATTTGGGTGTAAGTGGGCGGGGCTGCAATAGAAATGGGCGTGTCTGTGAGATGAAGGGGCGTGGCTGCGCAATCTGTGTGAGTTTTCAAGAAAGTCGTCAAATTTGGGGTGGAGTTATCGCTCCTCAGTGGAACACACACCTGCATCAGCCTGTGGCGAATGGAACGATACATCACACCACACACAACGCCAACACCGAACCTAGCAACGACCCCGGCAACGACCTCTGCCCCTGTGAACCAGTCAACAACAACCAGACAAATGAGCTACAAACCACACACTGTTGACACGCACACTGCTGGAAACTGCAGATCAACCAGTGAATATTATGAATGAAATGTGGGGAGATATGTAAATACTTACCATGAATTTAATAAACCAAATATCAGGCTGACTTTAGACTTGAGACTGTTTTTTTACAGGCTAGTATATACTGCTAATAGTTAGTATGTTTAAAAAAAAAAGTAGTGCACATTGCATTATTGATGGATGCAGTATTTCATGCATTGAGCTCTGGTTGCATACTGCACCTACTATATTTCTACAGACGTTTTGCACACTGTATACGGTCAAAAATAGTACTTAGTATGCTGATCTGAACATATATAAGATTGGCAAATGCATCATTGCAATGAATTAACAGGCTAGTTTATACTGCATAGTGTATACTGCATAGTGTATACTGCTAATAGTGTGCAATGTAGTATGTTTCCAACAGTAGTACGCTGCATTGCATGTGCACATTGCATTATTGATGGATGCAGTATTTCCTGCATTGAGCTCTGGTTGCATACTGCACCTACTATATTTCCACAAACGTTTTGCACAATGTATACTATCAAAAATAGTACTTAGTATGCTCATCTGAACATATATAAGGGTGGCAAATACATCATTGCAATGAATTAACAGGCTAGTATATACTGCATAGTCTAATAGTATGCAATGTAGTATGTTTCCAACAGTAGTATGCTGCATTGCATGTGCACATTGCATTATTGATGGATGCAGTATTTCAAGCATTGAGCTCTGGTTGCATACTGCACCTACTATATTTCCACAGATGTTTTGCACACTGTATACGATCAAAAATAGTACTTAGTATGCTAATCTGAACATATATAAGGGTGGCAAATGCATCATTGCAATGAATTAACAGGCTATACTACATAGTATACATTGCATGTGCACATTGCAATTATGTGATACAGTATTACATGCATTGCATTCTCCCGTGGCCTCATGGGATAGTAAAGTGTCCATCTTATGCATACTTCAGAATCACACCAGAAGAAGTAGGTCTTTCAGGTACTTTTTGCCTAAGTACTGTGAATTCAGACATACTGCTTTGTTTTTTGCCAACTATATAGTAGGGAAGTATGTGACTTCGGATGCTGCCACAGTCTCTTCTCCATCTGGCCACCAGAGGACAGACTCTTCCCAGAATTGCTCTTGTGCATGAGGTGTGTTTTGGTTTCATGGCCATTCAGCAAGCACTGCACAGCCGCAGACATGGGTGTGTGTTGCGGTGTGTTATTTAACGGTTCTCAGGAAAGCCTTTCTGCCTGACATCACATTTATTGAGTATCAGGAAGTAAAACTTATTTAAGAAAAAAACAACACAAATATGAATGTCTTGAGCTTGATCTTCACTTGTGTTCAGATATCAGGGTGTGTCTGCTATCAGTCACCCCTAAAAATCCCTCTTTCATCTTCCTTTTTCAATATGAAGGCTTATCATAGAAGTGCAGGAAGAATTTCCCTAAAATATTCATGATATCAGAAGTGACAGCACACACACATCGACTCGGCTATACGTTTGATGTTGTTCCGTGTTTATGTTTGTGTGTCTGTGTGAGTACATACAGACACTCAATCACAGCTTAATGAGTCATAAAACCTGATTATATAAACTACAGATGATAAGAACCATGCTGTGGGAATGAGGGAAGCAATAAACGAGGGTTATGGAAAAAGCAGGAGTGAGAATTGAAAGTAAGCCACCAAGAAATGGAAAAGGAGAGCTGAGAAGAAGTAAACTGGAAATGCCCTAAAATTCCTTTGTTCCAGTAAAGTGTGTCGTCCTGGTGTTGGTGACTAATCATGTGACCAGGTGAAGCGCCTCTGCCTTCTTCTGTCATATTAAACATGACTTTGACTTTCTGTACTGCTTTGAGCGAGAAAGAGAGATTGGTTAATGTGACTGTCACTTTGACTTGAGGGTGGACACTTTTCACTTTCGATTGTAAGGAACCACCTAGCAACCACCTCAGTAAGCTCATAGCAATGAGCTGCAAACCAGCCAGAACATTTTATCAACTGCATATCAATGCCCACTTGACAGTGACCTATGCAACTGCATAGTAACGCCCTGACAACCGCTTAGAACAACCTAGCTGCCACTCAGAACACCTTAGCAACTGCATATCAATGCCCTGACAGCCACCCAAACTCCCTACTACTTCGAAGACCTTAGCAGCTGCATAGCAACACCCTGGCAACCACCCAGAACACCTTAGCAACTAAAGTGCAATGCCCTCGCAACCGCTCAGTACACCTTAGCAACTTCATGGTAACACCCAGACAACTACTTAGAACAACCAAACTGGTCGCTACCACTCAGAACTACATATCAGCCCTGACAACCCCCAAAACTCCCTAGTTACTACCCAGAATACCTTAGCAACTGGATGTCAAAACCCTGACAACCACTTAGAACACACTAGCGACCAATCAGAACACCTAACTACATAGCAATACAGTGTCAATCACTTAGAAGAACAGCCTAGCTACCACTCCGAACACCTTAGCAACTGCATAGCAATGCCCTGACAACCCCCAAGAACTCCCTGGCTACCACTCAGAACACCTTAGCAACCACATAGCAATGCCGTGTCAACCCCCTATAGAACACCTTAGTAACTGCATAGCAACAAACCCAAACCTTCCTAGCTACTAGAATGTCAGCAACTGCCTAGTAACGCCCTGACAACCCCCAAAACATCCTAGTTACTACATAGAGTCCCTTAACAACTGCATGTCAAAGCCCTGACAACCACTTAGAACACACTAGCGACCAATCAGAACACCTAACTACAGGGCCGGCTCTAACCCTTTGGTTGCCCTAGGCGATATTGAGTTTTGCCCCCCCCCCCCCCCCCCCACAAAAAAAAAAATTATAAGTATTTATTAAACTAAACATGCTCTTATAGTTACTCAAAAACTAAACAATAAATTGTTCATACAAATGCTACAAAGAACGTTCAAGGATATTTATATCATAGCGTAGTTGCATTGTACAACTATATTTTATCTGACCATAAATAACTATTAGTAGATAAATTACAACTACTACCACCACTATTACAATCTATTGGGCTGCTACAAGGTTAAGGGGGTTTCGGGGGTATTTCCCCTTAAGAAAATTTTGTGCATTTTAATGTTAAATTCATCAATCTGGTGCACTTTGAGAGTTCAAAACTAAAAGCTCCAACCCATATTCAGTGTGCAAATTGAACAAAGAAAAATTCAAACCTCTTTTAATTACAGTGTATGTCTATTACACTACTACATTTAATAGATATAATATTAATCCCATGACAGTAATTTCCATAGGCTATATTGTAAAACAAATGCACTGAAAAATAAAGGAAACTTTCATGAGTAGCCTATTGTACACATTTCTATACTTGAAAGTAAGTTATATATTTGGAAGTAACCCAGCGCCGCCAATTAAGCAAAACAAAACAAAACGAATGGGCCACCGATGTACGAGTTTTATGGGCCGTTAAGACAAAAATAGAAAAATAAAAGTATGAGATGTATGTATCGGCCCAAAAAGCACGTCGGGCCCGCGGGAATGATCGGTTGTCCCGATGGTCAGAACATTTGACACCTTAATGGATGAGATGAGAAGACTTACCTCTATACTGGGCTTTATTTTTATCTTGTTGCTTTCTCCGTTTTCGTCCCATTGCACCAGAGGGTAGACCGCTTCATTTTCGATCAGCGCGCGCAGCAGCCGAGCACTCGCCTAACGTAACCATAGAACGTAACGCAACTAACCCCCGCCCCCCCTTTAGGAAATGATCGATAATAATCATCCATTCAATCTAATAATCAGGTTGACAAGTAATTAAATGTATGGCTGAGGGGCGCCTTAGGATGATCATGTTTAATAAACATGTTTTTGTTTCGCTTGTCATTCTAATTCTATGATTAATGGGAAGTAGCCCAAGGGCGACACTAGAGGGCGCCCGCGCCCCCAACACATTTGTCGCCCTAGGCAACCGCCTAGTTCGCCTATAGCAATCGCCGGCCCTGCCTAACAACATAGCAATACAGTGTCAATCACTTAGAAGAACAGCCTAGCTACCACTCTGAACACCTTAGCAACTGCATAGCAATGCCCTGACAACCCCCTATAGAACACCTTAGTAACTGCATAGCAACAAACCCAAACCTGCATAGCTACTAGAATGTCAGCAACTGCCTAGTAACGCCCTGACAACCCCCAACACATCCTAGTTACAACATAGAGTACCTTAACAACTGCATGTCAAAGCCCTGACAACCATTTAGAACACAATAGCTACCGCTCAGAATACCTTTACAACCACATAGCATTGCTGTGTCAAGCCACTATAGGACTGCATCTGCATAGCAACACTCTGGCAACCACTTAGAACACCTTAGTAACAGCATAGCCATGGCAACCACACAAAGCTCCCTAGCTACTAAATAGAATACCTGCGCAACTGCATAACAATACCCTGGCAACCACCCAGACCTTCCTAACTACCCTTGGAATATGCCAGCAAATGCATAGCAACGCCCTGGCAACCCATGCCTTGTCGCTGCCAAAGTGCTAGGGTACTGCAGGTGGTTGCCAAGAAAAATCAAGTTATATTGTGGTACTTTCATGGTGGTTTTCTAACATTTTTGGAGCTTGACAGATCCACTGTTTTGTTGTATGAAAAACAACACTCTACTAAACGACTCCTTTTATGCTCCACAATAAAGTCATACTGGTTTGGAGCGACATGATGGTGAGTAATTGATATTGTTATTTTTTGGGGTGTAGAGAAATTGTTTAATAAAACATGGCAAATACATATGGTGAATAGAAGCACCCGAGGCCGAATCAGGTGGAAAATAAAATGATTGTCACAGACAAAAACAGCAGACAAAGGCCTCGTTTACACTGCAGGTCTTGATGCCCAATTCTGATTTGTTGCCTATATCCGATTTTTTTGACCATCCGTTTACACGTTCTTTAAATTGTGACCCATATCCGAGTCATGTGTTTACACTTGACATAGTTCTGAAACATCGC